TTTACCAAAAATGATAAAAATATTCACCAAAATTAGAGAATTAAAGATATCATTACAAAATGAACAAATCTGAGAGAGGTCCACATGTAGTACCTATATATGTAATATCAAAGCAATTGCACTTGCGGTTTTTAACAAGAAGTCGAAAATATCACTTTTTACCAAAAATGACAAAAATATTCACCAAAATTAGAGAATTGAAGATATCAACATGAAATGAACAAACCTAAGAGAGGTCTACCCAAGGTACATATACACCAAGTATCAAAGCATTCAGGCTTGTAGTTTTCAAGAAGAAGTCGAAAAAGTAAAACATTGACACGGACGACGGATGACGACGACGGACAATCACTCATATGATAAGCTCCGCTCAACAAGTCGACAGCGGAGCTAAAAAGCGGGCATCATTGCTGTGTTACATCCAGAACACTGACCTTTTATTGGGACTCAAAATAACTAAGTACTACTAATTTCCGTAATACTATATCAGTATCACTTCATTTATTTATTTTCATTGAAATAATTACCACAATGAATACATTTATGTTTTTGTGTTAATAAAGTGTGTCTATCATGTCAGTACGGTGGAGAAAAGATGTTGTTTGGCGACCATTTTGAATTTATAATAAAGTCATTAGCGACGTCTTGAATTAGCGAATCAGTTCTCTCGCTAAATTCGCGAAAAAGACAAGCTCGCGAAAAAGACATGTTTTGCAGTACAGTTTTTCAGTTGTGAATAATTGGTCTGATTTTTCAATGATATGTATATGAGGGGTTCCTATTCTATAATGCTCTCAGGAACGCATTTGATTTGATTTGCCATTTTTCTTTCTTTACGATAGTTGGCTTTTCATGGGTTGATGGGAGTCCAGTCTCATACACAAACTGGGCTACTGGAGAACCAAATAATGTAGAGGGAAATGAAGATTGTGGTGAGATGCATTTCAGCTCCGGTGAATGGAATGATGTTGATTGTTATTGGACAGTTGGATTTGTGTGTAAAATGGACAAAAGTAAGTATAAATCCAATTGCCTATATCCTAAATGACTCCCTACTATTAAAAGGTTGTCTTTGTATTCAATTTCATCTTACCCTTGTTATATTGAAAGAAAGCTATACACCTCTCTGCAATGGCTGCAATAACTTAATTTTTTTTTATCAAAACAGGTTAAAGTAGGACTTGTGTTGAAGGGCGGTAGTCGTCTCGCCGCGCATGCGCAAGATATATGGGTCTCATATAAACAAAGATGGCGACTTTTACTGTTGCACAGATCAACCAGTACAAACTGAGATGTTACCAAGCTTTAATTATGTATTTTTTTAGGTGATTGGAAATTATCAAAAGAGTCACCAGCAGTAATTAGTGATTACCATTAGGAGAGCGCATTGAATCAATGTTTATCAACACAAATGTCACACATGTGCAGCACAACGACTACCGCCCTTTAACCCCATACTTCGGACCCTCAATATTGGAGAAGGGCCCCCATTTTATTACAAGAGGGGCTCCCATTTTTGATGAAAACACACAACATATATTGTGAAATCATTATTCAATTTCACATTGAGACTCACTACACAAAAATACTAGTGCAATCCCTGATTAAAGCATCACATCCACTTCATCATAGCATGCCGTATTTGATGTGGGTTTAATGTATACAACATGTGTCAAAGCAATTCTGAATGTACAAGATGGCCAGCTCTTTAAAATCTCAACCAAGTTTGATTTTATATGGACAAACATGATTCAAATATGTTGATATATCATGACTCCTGCAATTTTCACAGAAATGGGTTAAACTACTAATTTGAATGATAGATCACTTTTTTTTTCTCAAATCAATCCATACAATATATTATTCTTGCTACTCAAAACTGCTGTTAAAATGTTATTTTTGGGGTAATATTTGAATAAAAAAGTCTATATACTACATTAAAATGCGCACGAGTATCATTCAACCATTCAAACAAACTGAATTCAAGATGGTACATA